TCCCAATTGATTGCTCCTCCTGCCTCCTCCAATTGTTGTCTAGTGTACCTCCACCAGTGTTCAGCTTCCCCTTGAAATAAATAAACTGCAAATGTAACCTTACTGGCATCTGGACAATTCATTGCTATGAAGATCTTCTCTAACTCCTCAATCCATAACTGGGCTCCATCTGGATCAAATCCACCTTTGAACTTTGGAGAGTTGTTCTTCATAAAACTTTCTAGACTATGAGTACCAACTTGTCCTACTGGTTGTCTCTCTAACACTCCAACCATTCTTTCTAGCAATTCATTCAAAAGAGCATTACCATGTCCTCTACCTCTTCCTGACATCACTTCCTGCAATCACAAATTCAATCAATCCCCTCTATATATGTGAGGTAAAACTAGATAAACTAAGAATTACTCCACATTACAAATTTCACATCACTACTTTCTGTCGAAAATAACAATACAAGATCACACAGACAAGCATATTAGGCCTTTCCCCAGGCCTATAGGAAAGAACTGCTCTGATACCACTAATTGTGACACCTTTAATATCAACATTCACTTTATTAGGATTTATTACTTATCATTGGTTCCTCTTAGTATTTGATTACCAATACACTATTGTAGAAGTAAGGTACACAATAAATAGAACATACACTTAGTGATTAATATACATATCATTCATAAGTATCAAGTATAACCAGATAGTAAATATACACAAAGTCATCCCAAAATACACCTAACAAGGGTTCACAAGACCAGAGTAGACAAACTAACTATACAACCTAACTAAAGAGGAGATCTATTTCGTACGTCCACTAAAATGAAGTATCTCTTGTAGCACTGTAGTGGTGTCCGATCAAGTCCTCTACTTAGTACTTGCAGTGATCGTATTTAAACTTTACTTGGAGATGATACCGAGGATGAGTTGTGTTCAACGTCACCTATGCAAACATTTCATAAAAACAATACATGCACAGAAAGGGTAAGACAACTTTATATTCACTTAGAGCATGCAAATAACATTAAGTTAATTAGAAATTACACGTACAAACATACTAGCAATCAGCACACAAATGATATGATATTATGAATGCAATGTATCCACTAATCTTTTCTAGGACACATCCTAGTATGAAGACCATGGGGATCCCAAAACCACTTTCTCTTTTTTTTTTTTTAGAAGGATCAGGAGTTTCACTGGAACCTCTTACCGCCTTGCGGTAGTATACTCATAATTACGTGTCCAGCTCAACTGATCATGAGAAACCCTGGGGCTTTAGTCAGGATAATCAAGCTTGGTAGTGAGAGTCTCACAACTTAGGTAGCGAGCCTAAGCCACATATGAGCTCGATCACACTCAATCATCCCCGAGGTTAGCATGGAACCGACCCTGATTTTCCATATCTTCCTCATACACTCAATCTCTGACCCATGAACATGATGCATGACTTATCATAACTTCTTCACACTCTTTCAACTTTGTTTCAACTCATTATATTTAAATCACATCTTAACTTCTTCAAAATAATACTAGGCTATTTCTTTAAAAAAATCAGACAGAGTCTCCCCTGTAAATTGGACATTTCCAAAATTTTTTAACACCTGCAAAATAATCAAAAACAGTCCAGAACACTTCTACTTTTCACCAAACCATCCTTCCACCTCATCATATTCATCATCACTCAAAATCATAATTTTCTCAATTGTAATTTATTTTTCTTAAATAATAATAATAATTGCAAATAATTTCCTCAAAATTATTAAAAATTCATTTTCACTTACAATTAATTGTTTTCTCCTAAATCAAAATTATTCCAATACTTTTGAAAAATATTTATTAATTAAATAAAAATATAAAAATTCACTTCATAATTAAATTATAAAATTCAATTTAATATATCTAAAAAATTAGTTTTCTTTCTCACATAGTTCATTTCTCACACCTTTCCTCCATTCCACCAAATTATACCATGCAATTCTACATGTTAATCCATCTTAACAAAAACATTCCACAATAATTTTCTACTTATCATGCTTCATAACATACATACAATATATCTCAATAATCAATTTAAAACAATTATCATAATACTAAACATAGAAATAGGATAATTCTCAATCTAAATTCATCAATAAATTATATAAAATTACTAATGATTAAGCAATCGATTCAAATAACATTCATGGATGTCTTATAATCATACAAGGTTCCATACACTCAAATTGCTCCATTTAGAAGCCATAAAATTCACATAATCTTAAAACTTTAAAAATTCATCAAAAATAGAAATAGCATTCAAATAATTCCAAAATAAATTTCTAATTAACTTAGAAGTAAAGGGACTTCTTCTCAATGCTATTTCAAGCAAAAGTGAATTATAAAAATTATCCTACCCCTTACCTTATGTTGTAACTTGGTGAAGAGCAACTCTTGATCAAATAATCTATCAAGTCTTTGGGTCTCCTCTTTGCACATCTAAGTAGCCTCCTACATGCCAATTAAATACCTCAATTAAATCCTTAATTCCAATCATATTAGACCTCTAAAATCTCACCTCCTTCATAGCCTAAAATTCTAAAATTCAAGACTATGGTTCTTTGAGTTATAAAATCATTTCTAGGGCCTAAATTGATGCTAATGAAAGTAATACAAGTGGAAGAGAGTAATGGAAGTAATACACTTAGAGTAGGAATAATCTTAATAACAAATATGGACAAGGGTCCGTATTTCAGAATTTTCTAGAGTTATATAAGTTGTTTTGGTACGAGGTCTGAGCCAAAATTTCAATAACTTAATTACCTACAATATTGATGAAAGAAATAAATTCGAATACCCTGTAGAATAAATGCAATTTTTCAGTTTATAGTGGTTGTTTTTAACATGGCTCAACTACAATAACACTCTGAACATGCCTTGGTAATTTGACTATAACTCATGCTACACATAAGCTATTGACATGAAACAAATTTCTAAATTTCGGGAATATAATTTCCTACAACTTTTATGAAGGAATCAAGTCCTAATTTCACAGGTATAAATCCCAGTAATTCAAAAACCGAGGCTGTTGAAACAAGGCAACCTCTTAACTTCACAGCTATAACACTTGACAGTAAAATGGATATAACTTGAGCTACAAATATCCGTTTGATGTGAAACAAGTTTCTAAATTTCGATGACTTAAAGGGCTACAACTTTTATGAAGACATCAATTCCTAATTCTGTTCAGACAAGTCCCAAAATTCAATGAACAGTGACCTACGAATTAGGATGCTTAAGGGTTTTTAGCTTAATCACTTCTAATCCTCAATTCTAAGTATTATTCTAGTGTCCTAGGTGTAAAACCTACAATAACACTCTTTCTACTCTCATTCAAGCTTAGCCAAGTGAGGAAAAAAAATTGAAAATGCAGCGTTTTAAAAAATAAAACCGTAGAAATGTAGAGGAGATTGAGAGAAACAAACTTACCTCTTGGAACTTCTCAAGAAAATTAATATTTCCCCTAAAAATTAAGCTTCAAAGTGAGGAGGGTTTGAGAGAAAGAGAGAAATGAGAGAAATGGAGGACCTACGAGAATTGCAGAGAGAATGTCTTTTTAAAAGTCAAAATTTAATTTTTTTAGATATATTATTATTATTTTTTTAATTCCATAAAATTTCCAGAAAATCACAAATAATCTAAAAAACATAAAACTCTATAGTCACTTTCCCCAATTCCTAATAATTTAATTATTAAAATTTTGACAAAAATTTTGTTAAAATTTAACAAATCGGGGATACTTAGGATGTTACACTGCCAACTCGCAAGGCAGGATGGGTCAGCCGCGACCCGCTTTACTAATAAATTTTTTTTATTGTGATACAATACAAAGAGTCGGAAAAATAATATATAATATAAAAAATTATAAAAATAAAATTATAAAAGTATCGAGTGTCTCATAAAGAGAATTCATAAAGTTTCAATATCTCACTACTAAGAGAATTCAAAAAGTTTTATAATTACTTAAATTCACATTACGAGAAACACTTTCATTTCTCAAGCACACACCTCTCTCTCTTTCCTGTCCTCTTACTCATTATCTCTTTCTTGTTCATCCTTCTTCATAAGGTAAAAATCATATATATCTCATACTTTTTTACTCTTTTATATTTGTTACTTTCTTAAAGTTTTATTTTTTTTCTCTTAGTATTTTTCTCTCTCACGACTCATTTATTATGTTTTTCTATTTATGTTTTGGTTGAGATCTATCAGTAAGAAAAAATTATGAAGTTTTTTTTTATTTTAAATAGAAAATGGATGGTTCAATTAGTAAATCTACTTGTGATCTTGATGATGTGGTTAATGAAAATAAAATTGAGAATGAGGTTATCTTAATTTTATCTTAATTTAATTATTCAAAAATATAATTTATTAAAATAATATATCAATTTATATTATTAACTTTAAATATATATATATATATATATATATATATATATATTGAATTGTTGACAATGATAATTTTATTATTAAATTTATTGAAATATTTGATTTAAAAATAATAAAATAAAATAAAAAAATATGATGGGTCAGCTCGTCAGTCCACTCTTTTGCGGGATGGGCCAAGACCTTTAGCCAGTTATAACTATAGTGGGTTAGTCCTTCCTATCCCATTTTTACAGGTCAAAGGCAGGACGGACCAAAACGGGAAGTTGACCCGTTTTACCATCCTACATATTTATAAGAGAGAATATTATTATTATTTTTTTCTAAAATTAAAAAAAAAAGTATTTTAATTTTTTCTTTTAATAAAATTTCATTATTCTCTATGTGGATTTTATTTTTCTTTTTTTATTTTTTATTTTAATTGTGAATTTTTATGCTGTGTGAATGTGATTCCTAACATCAAAGCCATATTCTACCTGTTCTTCCTAGCATCACACATGTTCCACCGCAATCACACTTCACCATCCCCTGCCATGTACTTATAACAGAGACGATAATTCCACTGCTTGCTACACAAACATTTCTCACGCTATAACCCTTTCAAGAGACTCTAAAACTTTATCCATGGACAGCACCGGATTCAGGTTGGTTTCACCAGCAATTGACAAGGAAGGGAAGGGAAACCTCCCAAGATACTGCACACAAGAAGGTATCGGCTCAAAGTAGGACATTTCTCCCCCGCTGGAGTGGCACAACGTGCCTCCCAAAACCAAGAGCATGGCCCTTGTGGTGCAGGACATTGATGCGGTGGATCCGACGGGGCGCCCGGCGGCACCCACCACTGGATAGTGGTGAACATTCCGGCGAGCGTGAAACGGCTTCCTGAAGGGTTTTCTGGGAAGGAGGAGGAAGTGGGTGGAGAGTATGAGAAGATTGAAGAAGGGGTTAACGATTGGCAAGTGCGTGTGTGGCGTGGTCCCAATAGTGGCTAACTATGAGGATAGGTTTGAGTTCAGACTCTATGTGCTCGATGATCACATGCACTTTGATAATCAGGTATAGTTTTATTCCATTTTCAAAGACAAAAGAAATGCAGAAAAAGAAAAATGACAGAAAGTTCAAAACATTTTGCAGGTGACGAAGACGAAGCTCTTGGACGCAATAGCAGGGTATGTTATGGGAGAAGCCCTATTTACTGCTTCTTTCTAACACACTGTGATGTCAAAATTCACGAAAACAATCTTCACTCATAAAGAAATTAATGAATTGGCTCTAAGAAGTTTTTTGGTTTTGTTTTCCTTTTTATTATATTATTCTCTATGTATTTTATTTAAGTTCAATAAATTAATTATTAATCTCTAAGTGTTTGAAACAAATACTTAGACTGCGTTTATGTACACAAATTACATAACTTTATTTTTTGTAAATAAACTCTATTTCATTTCACTGAATTTAAAAAGTTATGAAAAATTAAACCAGTAAAAATATTAAACTTCGTAAAAAAAATATTTTAATGCATTACAAAAATATTCCACTGTTTATTTTACCCTTATATACAATAGGAAGAATATTTATGCTCACTCTTTCTTTAAACAAAATTTTGTTTTCAATTTTATTTGAAGTAAATAAGAGTTAAATACCGTCTTTGAAAACATGTCAGTTTTTGCTTCTTCTTTTTTTAAATTCAAATTATTTAATTTATGACCTCTTTAATGTTTAAATACATTTACCAAATAATTTTGATTATTATATTTTACAATTTATAAAATATTTCAAATTGTTGTTTTATTTAACAAAACTGTAATCAATATAAAATATACTATTTATTAAATATTAAATGTCATTTATTAACATTAATCTTATTTATTGATTAATGTATTTTAGTAACATTATTAAATATATTACTTTATAATTAAACATTAAAAGTATTAATGAAATATCTTGTACTGTATTAATGTCATTAATCAATGCTATTTATTAAATATTATAATATATATTCATAAACTCATTAAATATTATTTTTATGATTAAATATTTAATGTCATTAATGCAATATTTATATACGCAGAAAAAATATTTCAAAAATTGTAAGAAAACCTTTTTTTATACATTTAATCCATTAATTACAAATAAGGTTCCACTTCTATTTGTTTTACCAAAAAAGTTCAAACATATAAATATTCCTTCCATTTTTAAATTTTATTTTAAAAAAATATTCACTTATTCTAAAATAGGAGTTATAAATTTATTTTTTATCTTCATGATTCATTTTCTTATAATTTAATTAATAAAATAAAATAAATTATTATTTTATAATCTAATAATTAAAATAAAATAAATTATTATTTTAGATTATTAGATTATACAAAATAAATTATTAAAATATACATTTAAAATAAACGGATCTCTCCTCAATAAAAAAAATAATAATAAATTTTATTAATTTTAATAAAATATTCTAATTTTTTCTACATATTAATTAATAAACTAATAACTAAACATTATGTGAAAGATAAGAATATAATTAACAAAAGTAGTTAAATCAAGTTTGGACAATTAAAATCTAATGGTTAAAATAAATAAAGAAAATATATCAATTTTTTTCTTCAACATCCATTAATATTATTTTCCTGCCAGAGTTATTGTTCTTGATTCTGATGCAAGTAATGCATAAAAATATAAATATTGTGTTCATAATATTAAATGATTAATTATAAAGAAATAATATTGTTAATAAATATATAATATTTAATAAATAACATTCAATTTAATTAATGACATTAAATATTTCATGCATCTATAATATATATATATATATATATATATATATATATATATATAAAAGAATTATTTGTGTAACGATAAAAAAAGTGTTATAGTTTTGAAAAAAAAAGTAATTACTGTAATTTATATATTAAAATAGTAAGAATATGAGAAAAAAGGGATATATTTAAAAATAAAATAATATTTTAAATAATATTTTAAAAAAATAATTATATAAAAACATGGACATTCAAATACCTTAATCCCTATATTTTCATTAATATATATATTAAATAAAAATAAACTTTCAATTATAAATGATTAGATGCGCTTGTGCTAGTTAATTGTTGATTTCTTGGAAAAAATTTATTTCTATGTATTTATAATTTGTTAAATATTACATATTATATATATATATATATATATATATATATATATATATATATATATATATATATATATATATATATATATGATAACGTAGCATTTAATGCTAATATATTATTTATGTGTAACAGCCCAAAACTAAGGTTGGGAGAACAGGTTTAATCTGATAAAATAAAATCATAAAATACTATCGTACAAAATTTTATAGTTCAAAATTTTATCATATAAAATCATAAAGATGAGTTGTTATAGTCATATAACATTGAGTAGTTATAGTTATCTATACATTAGAACATATCCTAATAGAAATATCAAATAACACATCTTTTAATATTTTTTTTATGATGGGAAAAAATATCATGAAGAATATCATTGTCTTTATCCTATTAGAGCTTATGATTCAGTAAAATATTCGTAGTATGCTCTGTGATTGCAGCTTAGTCTGATCTTCCACACCATAAAAGATTAATTTCTTGTTTTTATAGAATCATCCTTGGTTAAGAAGTTGCAATATCATTTGCAAGTGTTGTCAAATGTGACATAGAGAGATGTGTTGATACAATCTGGATTACACAAGGCGTTGAAAGGAAAAACTTATGACATGGAGAAAGAAAAATGGGAGGAACTAGATTTAAAAGCTGCAAGTGCAATTCACTTGTGTTTAGCCAAGAATGTTCTTGCAAACGTGCAAAAGATGCCAATAGCAAAGGAACTTTGGGAGAAATTTGAAGACTTATATCAAGCAAAGGGCATCTCAAATCGATTGTTGTTGAAGGAGAAGTTTCATAACTTACGCATGAGTGATGATACGAAAGTCTTTGATCATCTTAGTAACATTAATGAGATTGTCTTTGAATTAGAGGCTATTGGAGTCAAGATTAAAAAAGAAGATATAACATTAAGACTCATTTGGTCTCTTTCGTCTTCCTATGAGTTTATTAAGCATGTTTTGATGTATGGTAAGGAAACTTTAAGCTTTGATGAAGTTGCTGATAAAATTCTTCTGAAGAGAGGAGAATGATAAGTAATAAAAGCATATCAACAAACTCAATGATGACTGTTAGAATTGGGACACATGAGAACAAGAACCATTGAAAGAATGTGGTATGTTAAAAATGTGGAAAGTTTGTGCATGTAAAGAAAAAATGTCCAAGTGGAGAAACATCACGAACCTATCATTCAGATTCAGATAATAAGCTTGTCTCTCTCATTTTGGAGAGGGTGATCTTTTGTAAAAGATGAATTAAGTATCTTTATGTCATAACCATGTTGTCATGAAAAATGATGAGTTTTTTTCTAGTGGTAATTGTGCAATGACATTGTTTAATATTGATGCATGGTGTGTAGTGATTATACATGAGCATTGGTTAGCATTGATGCAGGTGTGCAGTGAAAGGAAATTCTTAGAATGATTTAATTTCAAGTGAGTATACTCTTTATGGTAGAGTATGAATGATTGTTGGTGTAGGAAATGGAGATAAAAAGAAATATGTGTTTATTTTAATAATGGTGGAGATTATTAGGTTGAAGAAAATAATACATCTTAAAAAGTCTTACATCACATTAGATAAGCAATGAAATAAGTGATAGTAACTATATACTGGACTCAAAGTCCATGATGTTCTCACCCCAGTCAAAAATACTTGAAGTTTGTATTTGACTTTTCTTATACTCTTGTAGTAGAGTGTTGAGAGGTTTAGTTTAAATTCTTGCTTTGGAATTGAGATGCATAGGATAATTCAAAATATAAATTCCCTTTACATGGAGAAATATATACATAAATATCTATCACTTCAGAAGTAAACAAAATATAATTTATACTACTCCTAGCTCTAGACCTACTCCTGCTAAGGTCTATCACCTGTAAAATCTACTCATGTGTTAACATACGATCATCACAATTAAAAACACATACAAAACACACTAGGTAAGCTAGTAATTCAATTTAAGCATGTAAGATTCAAATGTGAGATAAAACAACATAATTCATCTTCAAGTTTTCATATATCACATCACACGCCCATATAGGCTCACATTCACATCACACAAACACTAGACAACTTCCGGAAGACTAGATATTGAAATAGACATCAGATATTTGCACTTGTCACACTACAATGAAAGCAATAAGGGGGAGATTGATGGTAATGTGAAATATGTCCCTATATTCCCAAGAGATGAATTTGATGATGATTCAAGTCAACAACATTCAAGAATCAAGCAAGCCCAAGATATGATTTTGATAAAGATTCTATTCAAGATTCAAGCAAGTCCAAGATAATTCCTGAAAATTAGATAGAGTCTTCGAATACTGAATATGGAGGTACAAGTTGATGAAGTAATATTATACATAAGCCTCCAAAGCACAAGTGTGATAAAATTTCGTAACATTACATTTTTTACTGTCATAATTGATTATGATCCATCAGAATTGAGAAATTGATTTTTACCCCAACATAATCGATTATGTTGAGTTATGGCAGTTCAAAATTCAAAAATATATCTATTTTGAAGAATAAATATTTTTGAATATATCATGATTTTTATCTAAGAAAATATTAATGTCCAATGGTCATTTTGTGATGATATTTTTCTATTTAATTAAGTTTTGATGAAAAATAAAAAACACACAATTACAGAATTTGAAAATACAATTTGCATTCAATCAGTTTTGAGAAAAGAATTTTGAGCAAGACAATAGAGATATTTTACATGTTTTGAGAAAACTCTCTTCTCCATTGTCACGAGAGATATTTTACCAAAATCCTCTTCTCAATTGCCTATTGTGCTTTCATTGTCAATCATACTTGTTCTTAGAGGTTGACATTCTACAGGCTTCTACAATTTGTTATCTCCACTACCTAGGTGTGACTGTTCTTATTTTATTACCTTCATCCTTTGTGGGCTTAAGTGATTGATTGTTAAATTCTCTATTTAGGGTTTAAGTAGTCACTGTCATTCTGTTGTGTTTGTTTTTTTGTTTACTGTGTGGAAACTATTCATCTCTTTGATTTGTTCAGGGAGGTGTTTTCATCCTTTGATTTGTTCAGAGGAGGTATTCATCCCTAGTGGGATTCTACGGAGGTGTTCATCCTTAGTGGGATTCTAAGGAGGTGTGTTCATCCTTTGATTTGTTCAGAGGAGGTGTTCATCCATAGTGTGATTCTAGGGAGGTGTTCATCCTTAGTGGGTTTCTAAGAAAGTGATTGTCTTTTAAATTATTTTACTTTTTGCTGAGTTGATTGTAATTTGTGAACTGAATTTAAAAGATAGTGAATTGGGGTCACTCTTGTGTTAAGAGTTGACTAGAAACTGGATGTAGGGTTGACTATACCCGAACCAGTATAAATCACTGTGTGTTCTTCTCTTTCCCTTATCCCTTTTTCTCTGCATTACTCTCCTTACACCCCTTATTTTTATCTCTATCTTTCTCTATCTTGTTGATATTTTATCTCTCTGATTATATCGCTTCCGCTTTATCTTTGTTCAATTTGATAATTAAAAT